ACTACGGCGGCGGCAACCCGGGCGGCGGGGGCAAGGGCCCCGGGGGCCTCAACTCCATTCACGAACCTCTGCTCTTCAAAAGCGGCTCCAAGGAGAATGTGCAAGAGACGCAGATCTGAGGCTGGGGATGGTCCGGGCTGCCCACCCCCGGCTCCCGGCTCCCGCCCCGGGCTCCCCCCGGTTCCTCCTCCCCTGGGCCGGGCCCTGGACGTGCGCGCAGGGTCGGCAGGAGGGCGCCGCGGCTCCCGATGGCGGCCGCTCAAGTTGGGGCTCCGGGCCGCGCCCCTCCCACCCCGGTGCCAGGAGGGGACGCTGGGGCCTTGGGGAGGTGGCCCAGCCCCTCGGTGGCTGCCTCATTCTCCCGATCTCTCCTCCCGCCGCCGCCTTCCAGGGAAGAGGAGCTTTGTTAGTTTTTTTTTTGAGGGGTGCCCTTTTCCCCTCGACCCCCAACCCCACCCACCCATCACCCTCCTTTTACGGTTCTTTTTTTGTTTTCTTATTTTTTTTTCTTTTTTCGCAGTTTGACGCCTCCCCTTCCCTCCCACTCCTCCAAACCCTCTCCACTTCTAAACCCAAGAGACAAACGCGTTGCCCTGGCGACACCCCCTACCCAGAGTCCCCAGTGGGGACCCCCACTCCCGGCCTGGCCCGGCTGGGGGAGGAGAAGGCTCCCACCGCCTGGCCCCACCTGACCCACAGACTCTTTTGATACTGAAGGAAGGTTTGCGTCAATGACTACCTGCTCTGTAATTACTTTAAAAAAAAAACATGGAAAAAGTTTAAACATTTTTTTTTTGGTCATGAAACAAAAATGTGGGGTGGGGGTCCCCCCCCCCCAGCCTGCCGATGTGGAGGGCATGGAGATGTGGAGGGCCAGGTGGGAAGGGCTTCCCTCTGGTGACAAGTCCACCCATCACCACAGCCAGATCAGAGTCTGTACCATAGGATGGTGGGGCACCGCAGCGCAGGGGGAGCCTCAGAGCCTGCGGATGACCTGGGAGGCAGCAGCCGCACTCAGGGGTACTATCCTAGAAGGTCAGCAGACACAAGGAATGCTAGGCCTGGCAAGGACAGCGTGACCTCTGGGGGTAACTGAAGTGTCCACAGCTCAGGGCCATCAGCGAAGCCTTGCAGCCTGGGGAGCCCAGGGATTAGAAGCAAGGTATCCTTCCCCCCACCCCCTCCATGTGCCACCAGGCTGGGCACTGGGGCAAACTCCACCCAGTCCCTTTCCCTGGGCCTGGTCCAGCCTGACCCTTAGACATGGCTGCTCTGAGCCACTGTGGGAACACTCAGGCCCCAGCTGGAGTCCACCACAGATTGGGGCAATCAGAAGCCCCCTCACTTCCTACCAACAGCATGCTGGGGGCCCATGGAGGGTCTGCAGTAAGGTTCTGCGTGCCTGGGCCTTGCCCTTTGTTCAGTCTACAGCTTGAGTATCTTAGCGCTCTCCCACCTTGGGGGCTCCTAGAGCTCATCCTCCCCTTATCCATGGTGACAGTGACACAGTGCATCCGGTCCTGGGCCCTATCTTTCTGGACCTGAGACTAACCGCGCTGCAGCTTTCAGGCGCTCTTCCCTGGTTGCTATGGCAACGCTGCGGCGGTACCAGGTGGCGGTGGGGGCTGGTAGGCCACATGCTGCCTTCGCGTTGCAGCCGCCATCTATGTGCCAGGGCAGTGGCATCTTGGGGCACCCAGGGACTTCCCAAGGCAGGAGGCTCCTCATCTGTGACGGGGGAGGGGAGTTGGTGGACAAGGGGGGAGGAATACAAAGGGGGTGGGGACAGGTCTGTAGGTGAAAGGTGGGCCGTCAAGGTGAACTGAAGAACAATCAGAGACAGGCAGGAGGGGCTCTGGCTAGGGCTGAAGGGTACAGAGGCAAGGCACCCCCTTCATGAGGCTGGGAGATACTGCTCCCACTGGAGCCTGGGCATAGCAGGCCCTGCCACCCCTGCTGCTCCAGTGAAGTCCTCAGCAGCAGCCTCCCCTCCCCCCCCACCCCAAGGGGATGGGGAGCTGGGACCTGAGAGCTAGGCGCTGGGCTGAGGGCCCAGAGTCCTTGTCACAGCTCCTCTGCCTGCCCCAAGCAGGATGCAGTTTCCATGACAACCTGGCCAGCCGGAGAGGAAGGCGGGGACTGCAGAGGGAATTTTCCACATGAGCAGGAAGGGGGGGGGGGAGCGTGGGATGCAGAGGAAAGAACCGAAGGGGGTTGGCATGCAAGATCCTGAGCCCCCAAATTTCTGTGCCCTCTGCCCAGGACAGGAGGACAGAGGGAACTTGGGAAAGGGCCCATTGGCACACCTCCTGTCACAGTGAGGAAGGTTCCAGAGAGGCTCAAGGGTCCAAAGGTCCAAAGGCTCAAAGGTCCAAAGGTCTGCAACTGCCCTGGTCTGGGGGTAGGGGCAGCCCATAGCCCAGCAGGTGGACAGACATGGCCCTGGAGAGCGTCCCGAGGAAGGTGGGGGTTGTGGGCTATGGCCGACTAGGTGAGTCCCTGACCAGCAAGGCCTCCCTCCTCAGGCCTCTGTGGAAGTCCCAGAAGCTCCTCAACCAGACCTTGCATCTGCGTATGCGTATCCCAAACTGCCAGCCCAGCCTCTCTGTCTCTCTGTCTCTCTCTCTGGGTCTCTCTCACTCCCCCTTCTCTCTTTCCTCTCCCTCTGGACGTCTAGCCCTCTCCTTTTCTCCCCCAGGACAGTCTCTTGTCTCCCACCTTCTGGCTCAGGGATCAGAGCTGGGCCTGGAACTTGTTTTTGTCTGGAACCGTGACCCGGGACGGATGGCAGGGAGCGTGCCGGCCTCCCTGCAGCTCCCCAGCCTGGCCGCCCTTGGGGAAAGGTCAGTGGCCTTACCACACAGGAGAAGCTTAAAATGCCCTGCCTGCTTGTCTTTAGCTATGTGTGGTGTCAGCCTAGTCCCTTGCCCCCCTCGGGGTCTTGGTGCACTCAAAGAGGGAATGAGAAAAGCCAACACATCCCAGGCCGGAGTGAGGAGTGACAGACAGCCCTCCAAAGACCTTGAGGCCCAATTCTCTGCAAGTCTCCCCCCTCCCCATCCCCACACACAAGGCTCTGCCCTGTCTCTCCCTCTCACCCAGGCATCCCGACCTAGTGGTAGAAGTTGCCCATCCCCAAATAATCCATGAGTCTGGGGCACAAATCCTGCGCCATGCCAACCTTCTGGTGAGCCCCTATCCTCAACCCATAACCCAGTCCCCTACCACTTCTGTCTGGGCCCCACTGCACCCCCAATCAGCCACCCTTTTCCTGATCTCGGTCCTTCCTGCCATCCTCCACCCCAGGTGGGGTCTGCCTCAGCCCTGGCTGACCCCATCACAGAGCAGCAACTCTTGGAGGCCTCCAGACAATGGAACCACTCTGTGTTTGTGGCTCGAGGTGCTCTGTGGGGGACTGAGGACATCAGCCGACTGGATGCTGCGGGAGGCCTCCAGGTGAGGTTCGCTGGTCCTGCAGCACCAGAGTGGAGCCTGTAGACCCCAGCCCCTTACCCTGGCCCTTGTTTCTAGAGTCTTCAAGTCACCATGGCTACACACCCAGATGGCTTCCGCCTTCAGGGACCCCTGGCTGCAGCCTGCAGCACTGGGCCTCGCACCGTGCTCTATGAAGGTCCTGTCCGTGGGCTCTGCCCTCTTGCTCCCCAAAACTCCAACACCATGGCAGCAGCTGCCCTGGCTGCCCCCAGCCTGGGTTTTGACAACGTGATCGGTGTGCTTGTGGCAGATCTCAGGTGAGCAGAGCTGGGGGACGGGCTGGGGCTGTGTCTGGGTGGACCACACTGACCATGCTCTTTGCTGCAGTCTCAAGCACCTGCATGTGGTGGACGTGGAGCTGCGAGGACCCCCAGGCCCCACAGGCCAGAGCTTCACTGTGCACACTCACAGAGAGAACCCTGCGGCGCCGGGCGCAGTGACGGGTTCTGCCACTGTGACAGCCTTCTGGCGTAGTCTCCTGGGTGAGGCAAGGCCCCTGCCCGGTGCCAGCAGCCCCGCTCTCTCCCGGGGTTCTGGTTCTGGCTCAGTAAATCTGCACTCCTGATTCTCCTTAACCTTCTCACTCCAGGACTAATTCTAAGTCTCTGCTTCTCTTTGGGTCTCTCTGCGTCGGTAGGTCTCTTCCCCCTTCCCATCCCTCCCAACTCTGACCCTTCCCTCCATCACTATCTACCCCCCCCCCAAGTGTCTGTGTCCCAGGCTTCCGTCTCTCCTGCGCAGGCTGCTGCCAGCTGCCGTCCAGGCCCGGGATCCATCTCTGCTGAGGAATCTCCTGTCGGTGGGCACCAAGGCCTCCCCGTCCTCGCCCCTCTCTCGTCCCGGCCTCCTTGCCAGGAGCCCCGCCCCGTCCGGTCCCCGTGAGGATCAGAGGCCCTGCGGACCCCGGGCTCTGGCACTCGAGTTCCGGTGTCCCTCTGACGTCACACATCGTGTACACACGCTGCATGACGCCATCCTAATAACCCAGGTTCCTGTCGCCCTCAGGGACGTCCCACGACGTCTGCACACGCCACAGCAATAAACCCGCACACACGTGAGCAAAGCTCATAAAAATCCTCGCGAGAGCCGGCCCCTTCTATTTCCCGCGATCTTCTGGGGTTAGCAGCGGGCGTGAGAGTACACGAGGGACGTCCGCGGGGCATTTCCGGGATTTGCTAGCAGAGGCTCACGGAAGTTGTAGTCTCGCGTTTACCAGAAGCCATAGCGGACTTCCGGGCCACGTGAGTCCTAGACGGTCCCTAGAAAGCCAGCGTGTCGCGGGGGCCTCTGGGCGTTGTAGTCCGGCGCGCGAAGGTCGCTGGGATCTGCAGTCCGTCCCGCCTGCCCAGTCAGCGCGGTGTGGCCCTCCAGGCACTCGGAGTCCGGAGCCGCGGCCCAGGGGGATGCGGGAGCCCCTGGCTCGGGGAAGCGGAGAGGCAGGCGGGGTGAGGGGCGTCTGCAGGCAAAGGGCGGGCGCCGTGGCTGGGTACGGGTCGGGAGAGGGCTCTGTTATTTTGGTATCCGGGTGGAGGGCCTGGTTGCCAGGTGACAGGGTGAGGGGATCTGGTTGCCTGGTGACGGTCTAGGGCCCTGTTGCTAGGTGACCGGAAGAGACCCTAGTACCTATGGACAGGAGAGGAGTGCTTCATCGCTAGGTAATTAGAAGACTGTCACCTAGTGTCGGGGGTGTACTCTGTTGCTAGGTAACCAGGAAGAACCCCTGCGTTACCTAGAGGCGGGAGGGAGCGGACTCCTCCGTTGCTAGGTGATGGTAATAAGGACCCTTTCACTTAAGGGACGTGATGGGAATGGTTGCCAGGTGTACTGAAGCGAGCCTTTTCTCTAGCACTATGGGATGGAGGTACCTCTGTTGCCTAGAAACAAAACCCAGAAAACAAGGATGGGCTCCAGAATCCTCGCAGGCTGCCTCCAGCCCCCACCTCGATGGCGGTGCCCGGGCTCCTGCTGGAGGCCTGGTCCCTGAGCATCTTCTCCCCACCCCACCCTAGCAGGAGCCGAGGACGGTATGTCCCAGGCCCCAGAAACGCGGCCGAGCCCACCCTCTGTGTACCACGAGCGGCAGCGCCTGGAGCTGTGTGCAGTGCATGCCCTCAACAACGTGCTCCAGCAGCAACTCTTTAGCCAGGAGGCCGCCGACGAGATCTGCAAGAGGTGACTGTCAGCCCTCACCCTGGAGATGCAGACCTCCCTCAGGGGGAGTAGCTCTCTTGGGTCCCCAGTACCCCCTCACCTGCCAGGCCTGTAACTTCCTGCCTCTGCCCAAGGCTTCAGCCCAGCTCAGGCCCAGCCATCTCTTATCTAGGTCCCAGTCACAACCTCCCAGATGCCAGTGTTCCTTCCTCCTCTAGTCCATGCTACACACAGGTTCAAGGCTCACCCTCTTTTCCTCCCTCCATGGCTCCCTAGTACCCTTAAGGAACACCCCCATTTCCCCTCAGCCACATCTAGGGCCTGCGTGCGCTGCTCCTGCCTGCCTCTGCAACCTCACCCCTCACTGCTCCCCTCAAATCAGACTCTGTAGTCCCCAGACGCTCCCTGCTGTGCTGCCTCTGGGTCTTCGCACAGGCTGTTGCTCTGAGCTGCATGGCTATATCCGCCTGCAGCCTGAATGTTCCTCAGGATTTCAGACAAAACTTCTTTACACCCTGCCTCATCCCTGATGGGCAGTCACAGGTGTGGCTCCAGCTCAGGCCTGGTCTTGTGCTGCCTGGACCTTCCTTCCAGCCTCCAGGCTCTCTCCTCCAGTCAGTGCCCCCACATAATCCTGGGGGCCAGGGTCCTTGTCCAGTTGAAAATGTCCACTCCCCTCGTGCTCATGGGCCTCCTGGGGCCCACAGATCTCCATACCCACAATTATAGCGTTTATAGAAGCAATTTTCTAATTCCCTACTCCTCCCACCTAGGACCTTCCTGAGGGCCGCCCTAGCCCACGGCCACCTCGTCACTCATCACAGGGGTTGCTGGACTCTTCCAAGCCCTGTTGGTGACCCAGAGCTGAGTCATATAAGAGCCCTTCTCTGAGAAACATGGCCTGGGAAACAGACAGAAAAATAAGCCACAATCATCCCCCTCCCCCACCCCTGCCCCCTGTGCCTAGCTGGGAACAAAGGCACAATTGTTCAGAAAGCAGGGCCCACAGGGGCCTGTGGTGGCTGGGTTGGGAAGAGCTAGCAGGAAGGCTGGGGTGCAGGACCCGGCTGGGGATGGGTGGCTGAGAAGGGCTGGCACTGGTGCCATGCAGGGCACGAGTGGCAGTGGGGAGGATGGGACTCTGCCAGGGAGGACTGTAGGCAAGGAAGGGGCAGGGCAGCCCCAAGCTAGAGGCGCAAAGATGTGGGCAATGGAGAGCCAGCCTGGGGGTCGGGAGGCGCCTCTCAGAGGAGGGGACATCCAAGGGGAGTTACTGAAGGCTCTGCCCTCCCACCAGGTTGGCCCCAGACTCCCGACTGAACCCCCACCGCAGCCTGCTGGGCACTGGAAACTATGACGTCAACGTGATCATGGCCGCCCTGCAGGGGCTGGGCCTGGCTGCCGTGTGGTGGGACAGGAGGAGGTAGGGAGGAGGGAGGGTGGTGTGGACCCACGGGGGCGGGGGGGGGGGAGGCCGGGACAGGTGAGGGCTGGCTGGACAGTGTGGCCAGTGGATGGTGGGCAGGAAGCTTCTGGGCACCCAGGGTGGGGAATGGGCGGCTGGGATTTGGGCAGTCGGGAAGGGCGGTGGTTCAGGGGGAAGATGGGCAGTTGGGGGAGCTGGAGGCAGGAGGAAGAGTTCCAGGCCAGCCTGGACTGTGTCAAAAAGCCAAATAAGTTAGATTTTTAAAAAGATGGGAGATGGCTGGCAGGCAGTGAGAACCGGATGGGCTCCTGGGCACGAGGGGGGGGTGGTGGATGAACACAGGACAGCCACTGGGGGTCACTGCAGCCGCCAGCTGGGTGGCAGGAATGCCAGGGCCAGCTGGCAGGGCCAGGCAGAAGGGGCCTGACCCTGTGCTCCCCTGGCCCCCAGGTCCCTGTCCCAGCTGGCACTGCCCCAGGTACTAGGACTCATCCTGAACCTGCCATCGCCTGTGTCCCTGGGGCTGCTGTCCCTGCCGCTGCGCCGGCGGCACTGGGTGGCCCTGCGCCAGGTGGACGGCGTCTACTACAACCTGGACTCCAAGCTGCGCGCCCCCGAGGCCCTGGGGGGTGAGGACGGCGTCAGGTGAGCTGTGGCAGGAGCGGTCCAGGCTGGAGCTGGACTGTGGAGCCCCACCCCCAAGTCCCCAGGAAGTGCCAAGGCTGGCTGGGCCTCAGTCTCCCTCGTTGTCCTACCCAGGACTTTCCTGGCGGCTGCCCTGGCGCAGGGCCTGTGCGAGGTGCTGCTGGTGGTGACCAAAGAGGTGGAGGAGGCAGGCTGCTGGCTACGAACAGACTGACCCTGCGGCTGCGGACAGACGAACCCCATGCCGCCTTCCCACTGCGCAGACTGCCTCCTGGCGCCCGCCTCAGACACCCCTTCTTGGGGAACATCCAGGGAGTTCCAAGGAAGGAAGGGCCTGGGCCCCAGGGGCCCCAGGGAGGACCAGGCCCTTCCCCACATATCCGCTCCCCAATGCCACTGCTGCCTCAATAAATCCATTAGTTTCCCACCTGCCTGTGATGAAGCCACCTGCTTCCCCCCACCCTTCACAGAGGCCAGCTGTGGCAGGGGCGGCGGGGGGGGGGGGGGGGGGGGGGCGGGGAAAGAGGGGGAGATCTGGGGCCCTCCAGGGAAGCAAGTTTGTTCCTTATCCTCAGGTCTGGTCACTGACTGGGAGGCAGAAGAGCGGCCCCCAAAGTTGCCTGGTAGCCCAGCACCCGGACTTGGGAGCAGGAAAGAAGGGTCACAGGTGCACAGGGCCTCACAACATAGAGACTTAACAGCTTGGGCTCTGATGGTGGGTGGATGAATCACAGGCCCTAAAAGCTGTAAAGGGCACTGGGTGTGGTGGGGCACTCCTGTAATCCCAGCACGGAGGAGGTAGAAGCAGGAGGATTGCTAGTGCCTGCCTGGGCTACATAGTGGGACCCTATGTCAAAAGAAAAAAAAAAAGTGTGGGGCTGGGAAGGTGGCTCAGTGGTAGAGCACTTGCCTTGCATGCATGAGGCCCTGGGTTCGATTCTTCAGCACCCCATAAGCAAAAAGAAAAAAGCCGGGAGTAGTGCTGTGGCTCAAGTGGTAGAGTGCTAGCCTTGAGCTGAAGAGCTGAGGGACAGTGCCCAGGCCCACAGAGTTCAGGCCCCTCGACCAGACCAAAAACCAAAAAAATAAGTGTGTGTAGGGGAAACAAAGCTTGGTACCAGATCACTAGATCATCTGTAATTGTAGCTATTTGGGAGTCTGAGATGGGGAGGATCATGGTGTGAGACCAGTTCAGGGATGAAAAATTCATAAGACCCCTTCTCAACACAAGGCTGGGCACAATGGCATATACAAGGCATCCTAAACTATATAGAAGGCCCAATCCAGAGGATCAAGTTTCCAAATCAAGTCCAGGAAAATCTGGAAGACTCCATAGAGGAAGATGGACTCAATACTCAGCTGTCCTCCTGGGGGCGGGAGGGGGGGGCGGCGGGAAACATGAGGAGCCTGAAATAGTCACTGGGTAAGAAGGGAGACCCTGTTGTAAAGGAGCCACTGGAAACAGCTGGCAGGGCAGGGCTCAGCCATAGCACAAGCAGCCCAGAAAGCCCAGGGCCCTGAGTTCAAACCCCAGTGCCATCAGAGGAACCTACTTTGGGACTCTGGCCTCCACTGCAGGCGCAGGAAGCATGCATCACCCTGGGTGCTGGGCCTCTGAGCAAGGGACCAGCCTGGGATGCCAGAAAAGCCTCCCATGCGCAGCCAGCCATCCTGATGGCAGAGCGGGCAACATGGACTGGGTGGGGAAACGCCATTAGGTTCCTCGAGGCCTCCAACCCTGGCTGGCTCCTCAGGTCAGCTGCCTCCTGCTTTCCCATCATCCTCCGGGACCACCTCAGGCCAATGGACACCGAGCTGGAATGGTCAGCAGCCCAGTCCCCCACGCCAAGCTAGACGGACACTCGGACACGAGGCTGTGTCCCCCAGGACACGGTGGGGAAGAGAGGAAGGGCAGGGCCTTGGGGACGAGGGTGAGTCCCCTGAAGTGGCCCAGAGACGTGGCAGCCCATGGAAGCTGAATGGAAGCCCCTGGAATTGGAAAGGACAGAGTGACCCAGCCCGCTACCGCTGTTTTATCGCAGTGGTTATTTGGGGAGGTGATGAAAGACAAGGCCGCCCTGGCAGCAGGAGGGGGGCTGGGGCCCGGAAGAGGGGCTGGGTGGAGAGGGGCCCGAGGAAGAGGAGGAGGGCTGGTGTTAGGGAGGCAGGGGCCCCTCAATGACTGGGGGAGGGGGCAGGTAGGGACAGAGAAGAAGGGAAGGAGGGAAAAGGCCCAGAAGTCTGGCCCTGAGCTCCCAACAAGGGGGAAAAGTGGGTTTGGGGGAGATCTGCACTGAGTAGGCTGGGAGGGGCCTGTGAAGCCTGGAGGGGGGGCCCAGGTCAGGGGCTGAGATTGAGTTGGGGACAGTCTGGGGTATGACTCCCATCTGTGCCAAGATCCAAGAGGGTGGAGCACAGACGCCCGGCAGAAAGCTAGTAAAAAAAAAAAAAGTGTGGGGACGCGGGGTGACTCACCCCAGCACCTGTGAGGTAAAAAGGTAGTGACACAGTGGAAAGTCAAATAGGGGGTGCAGGGCTGCTGCTGGGGATCCAGAAACCCCAGCCTTGAGGCCCTGCCTGCCCTTCCCTTTGTCTCAGTGTCCCTGGCTGCACCCCCTTCCCTCCTCCCCCCCTGATAGGAGCCCCCTCCTCCCCACTTGTCGCCTGTCCTGTCCTGGGGGGTGGCGGCAGCTGGCAGGGCCCTGAGTGTTTCTATTCCGGGCTGGTGGAGCGGGCGGCCACCTCCCAGGTGCTTCCTCAGCCATGGCCATATAAGGTCCGGAGTGCAGACCCTGGGGGTGGGAGGGGCAATCTCCTGCCTCTCCCCCCCATGGCAGCTGGGCCTGTCCCATTGTCCCTGTGGGGCTGGACCCCCTGTCCCTTGCTGCGCATATCACTGGCACCCCACTTTGCAGTGAGCCCCTAGGGTCTCAATGTGTCACCTTTCACCCAGGACACCCCATGTCGATCCCAGAGCTAGGGGTGAGGGCTCAGCTGCAGGTTGGAGGTGTCCAGGCAGACCCCCATGCATGCTCAGGGAGGTGGGGGGAGTGGGAGGGAAGGAGGGGGGGAGGGAGGAAATGCAGCTGTCCCGGGCAGCCGGTGCTGACAGCTGCTGCCCGATTTAGCTGCAGTGCCGGGGTCTGGCCAGATAAGGTGGTGAGGGTGACAGACCGCACCCCCCCCCCCGGCACCCCTTAAATTTCCCAGTTCAGGGCTGGGGGCGGCCGCTGCCGATACCAGGTGAGAGGGGCCATATCGCCAATGCCTGCCAGCCCGACCTCGGCCGCCTCAGGCCCTCTTCCCCTCTCCATCTTCCCTGTCTGCCTCCCACCCCTTTCTTTGTCTCCCCTTGTCCTTTCTTGACCCCGGCCCCATCGGGCTCCCTGTCCCCCTTTGTCTCTGCTTCACTCTGCCTTTCCCTTATACCCCCCCTCTTGTTTCTTGATCTCTGATCTGTCTCTGTCTCTCTTGCTCTCTTTCTCTCTCGTCTGTCTCTTTCGATCTCTCTCGGTCTCTGATCTATCTGTTTCTCTGCCTTCCTCCCTCTCTTTGCCTCTCCTCTCTTCTTGCTCTTCCTCTCTCCTTCTCTCACACTCTACTCTTCTATCTCTGTCTCTCTTAGTCTCTGATCAGTCTCTCTCATCTCCTGGTCTCTCTCTGATCTGTCTCTGCCCCTTGTTCTCTCTCTCTCTCTCTCTGATCTCTCCCTCCCTACCTCCCTCTCTCTCTCTTCCTCTCTCCCACTCTCCCCCTTTCTCTCTCTTGCCCTCCCTCTCTTTGTCTCTTCTTTTTTTCTCTCTTGGTCTTTCAGTCTCTCTCTCTCTGATCTGTCTCTCCCTGTCTCTCTCTGCCCTCCCCCTCTCTTTGTATCTCTTCTTCTTTTCTCTCTATCTCTCTTTCTTGGTCTCTTTCTGATCTGGTCTCTTTTCTGATTCTTGGTCTCTGATCTGTCTCTCCACCTCTCATTCTCTGATCTGTCTCTCTCTCTGCCCTCCCTCTCTCTTTGTGTCTCTTCTTTTCTCTCGGTCTCTCACTTCCTCTCTCTCTTGGTCTCTGATCTGTGTCTCTCTCTGCCCTCCCTCTCTCCTTGTATCTCTTCTCTTGGTCTCTCTATCTCTCTTGGTCTCTGATCTCTGTCTCTCTCTGCCCTTCCTCTCTCCTTGTCTCTTCTTTTCTCTCTTGCTCTCTCTCTCTCTCTCTCTCTCTCTCTCTCTCTCTGACTGTCTCTCTCTTGGTCTCTCAGTCTCTTTCTTGGTCTCTCATTATCTCTCTGATCTGTCTTTCGATCTCTCTTGGTCTCCGATCTGTCTCTGTCTCTCTCTTCTGCCCTCCCTCTCTCCTTGTGTCTCTTCTTTTCTTTCTTGGTCTCTCTCTCTGTCTGTCTGTCTCTGTCTCTCTCTTGGTCTCTCAGTCTCTTTTTTGGCTTCTCTCATCTCTCTCTGATCTGTCTCTTGATCTCTCTTGGTCTCTGATCTGTCTCTGTCTCTCTCTGCCCTCCCTCTATCCTTGTGTCTCTTCTTTTCTTTCTTGGTCTCTCTTTCTGTCTGTCTCTCTCGGTCTCTCAGTCTCTTTCTTGGTCTCTCATTATCTCTCTCTGATCTGTCTTTCGATCTCTCTTGATCTCTGATCTGTCTCTGTCTCTCTGCCCTCCCTCTCTCCTTGTGACTCTTCTTTTCTCTTTTGCTCTCTCTCTCTCTCTCTGTCTCTCTCTTGGTCTCTCAGTCTCTTTTTTGGCTTCTCTCATCTCTCTCTGATCTGTCTCTTGATCTCTCTTGGTCTCTGATCTGTCTCTGTCTCTCTCTGCCCTCCTTCTCTCCTTGTGTCTCTTCTTTTCTCTCTTGGTCTCTCTCTCTGTCTCTCTCTGTCCCTCTCTTGGTCTCTCTCATCTCTCTCTGATCTGTCTCTTGATCTCTGATCTGTCTCTGTCTCTCTCTGCCCTCTCTCTCTCCTTGTGTCTCTTCTTTTCTCTTAGTCTCTCTCGCTCTCTCTCTCTCTGTTTCTCAGTCTGTCTCTGTCTCTGTCTATCTTTGATCTCTCTCTCTCTGCTCTTTCTCTGCTTCCCCCTCTCTCTGCCTCCATCTCACTGTCTCTCTCCGTGTCCCCCACCCCTTCCTCCATGTCTGTCTGTCCTGTCTCTTCATCTCCCTCCCCTCCCTCTGCTGTCCCCTTCCTCTCCTCTGCCGCTGTCAGCTGGGCTAGGCTCTGCTGGGGTTGGAGCCCCCCCCCCCCCCCACCGCGTTTTCTGCTCAATAAAGCTGGTTCTGTCCTAGGCTCTGCTCCTCTGGCCTCTTCTTTCCTTCTTTCCTTCTCTGCCTTAACCTGAGCCCACCCAGACCCTGGGAGGGGGGCGGGGGGACCCCGCAGTGGGGATGTCTCAGATGGGCACACTGGGAGGGAGCTGGGGAGATGCAGGGATGGGGAGAC